CCCCAAAACCCCAAAACCCCTTTTTCTGAATGGGAAGAAATTAAAGCAATCAAGAAATAAATTAATCAATACGGTATGCTTATAAGATAATCAGATATATTCGTTTATAATTTTCCGCATAATATTTTAATTTATTTTCTAAAATTGGTTTGCTGGTTTTTCTTTTAATATTTTATCAATAGCAACTAAGTCTTATTTAACAATTTTCCATTCATGATGCTCAAAAATCACTTAGGTAACTTCAGGTTTAAGATTATCTAATAGCTATTTTGTGTAATAACATTGACATTCAAGGCTAGGCTAAGCTCTATTTTCTAAGAGCAACTTAACTATCTTTTCTCTACCAGTAATCATTGCTGCTTAGATTGGAGTCAAATAATAATTAGTTTTTATGTTGATAAAAGCTTTTTTTTCTATAAGATATTCTACTATTTCTTATCTGCCATGATAGCAAGCCATAAAAATTGGAGTCTCTTTATAGTTTGATAGCTCATTAATCAAATATCCATCTCTTTCTATCAGCTATTTTAATTATGACAATGTTCCAAAGGATGCCGCATAAATGACTTTAAAAGGTTTCAAAGTTTGTGAGCCTAGAGGTTTGATTCTCGTTGAGTAGAGAGTAATGTATTTATCAGCTGACTCTGGTTGTCCATTAAATTTACCCAAGTGATCACGTTCTATGCCATTCTCACAGTATATTCTGAATCCTATCTTTGCTGCCTTGTAAGGTGATCCAGCTTAAAATTCCGCACTAATTATTTCTAAAATAGTAGATCTTCAAAAATTTAATGTAGAGTGATCTACATCTGCTAGCATATATTAAAAGAATTCTTCGTTTTTTAAATCTTAAAGTTCTTTTGATTTAGAGCCAAATGGCGCTATATTGATAGAATATCGATGATACATCTAGTTACTTGGAATGTTTAATTCATAGAGAAATTGAAGTTCTAATATAATACCATCTGTTTTTATTATTTGAGCCTAGCCCCAACAAAATTAGTCCGTGTTATAAATATCTAGGTTAGCATCGACCATATCAGAAACCTTTAATTAATCTCTCCACTTTTTCTCCTCTTATTCTCGGTCAATTTGAAGCTATTCTTGAAAATTTTGAGCAGCTTCTTATAAAATCTACTAAGGTGGTTCAGTGACTTAATTATTTCCCATTATTTCTAGTAATAAAAGATTATATTAAATTCTGATATCTATCTATCTCAATTTTCTGTAAAAGCTGGGGTTTTGGGGTTTTGGGG